GGTCCGGGGGGAGGATTCTATGTAGAGCAAAAGAAGAAGCCCATTTATGTTATAGATATCGTTCACCTTATGGATGGTGAAGATGCCCTCAACCGCTGCGGCCTTGGACTAAAAGAATGTAGCGAAGATCATCCATGCCCTATTCATAACGAATTTAAGAGCTACTCATCGCGATTAAAAAAACTATTGGAAACCAAAACGATACAGCAATTCGCGGCTGAAATTAAGACAGGAAAAGCGTTCCTCAACAATTAAACCTATTTTTTTGCTTCAATAAAAGACTAAAAGGTCTTTTTATTGATTTTAATCATACTTTTGCATAACGAGGCTCATATAATATCCTTTGGGGACTGAGCACTTTTGCATCGTAACAAAAAACAAAATATATGCGTAACAAAATGTTTTCCATTATGGCACTTGCTGCCGTAGTTTTTATGAATAGCTGTGGAAATGGCGATACAAAAAACGAAAATGAAAGTACTGAGGCGGCACCGCAAAGTATGATTAAAGACACCCCAAAAGATGATGGCCAAGGTATTGGGAAATTTAAAGATGTGACTTTAGCAGCCTTAGATAGCAAATTAGCAGCTGAGGGGATGGCGATTTTTGAATCAAAATGTGCAGCTTGTCACAAAACAACCGATCAAAAAGTGGTTGGACCTGGGCTAAAAGGAGTTACTACTAGACGTCAGCCGGCTTGGATTTTGAACATGATAACTAACCCTGTTGAAATGACTCAAAAAGATCCAACTGCGAAAGAATTGCTAGCGGAACATCTAACACAAATGACATTCCAAGATGTTTCCGATGAACAAGCAAAACAAATTTTGGAATACCTACGCCAAAACGATGCAGGAGAAACCGTAGCTGAAGCAAAAAAATAGCATTCAATCATTTAATAAATCACAAACAATGAAAAATATTTCGATTAAACAGGGACTGTTTGTTGCAGTCGGGATACTATCGGCAGGGCTTTTCAATAGCTGTAAGCCACCGAAAGTAGATTCAGCAATGGCAGGAGACGCTGCCAAAAAAGTATATGTAGCTCCTGGCAAGAAGGATGAATTGTATTTATTCACTTCAGGTGGTTTCAGTGGTCAAGTTGGGGTCTATGGATTGCCTTCCGGCAGAATGTTGAAAAACGTACCTGTATTTTCACAAGATGCAGAAACTGGTTATGGCTATAGCGAAGAAACAAAACCCATGCTGATGACTTCACATGGTTTCACGCCTTGGGACGACAGTCACCACCCGCAATTATCGCGCACTGATGGGCAGGATGATGGTCGCTGGTTATTCATTAATGCCAACAATACGCCACGTATCGCAAGAATGGATTTAGGTGTTTTCAAAACAACTGAAATTATTGAATTACCTAACTGCGGAGGAAATCACGCATCACCTTTCACCACCCAAAATACTGAGTATGTTGTAGGTGCATCGCGCTTCTCGGTTCCTTACGATAAAGATGGAGATGCCGCTATTGCAGAATACAAAGACAAATTTAAAGGCACTATTTCGTTTGTAAAAGTGGATAAAGAAACGGGTAACATGAAATTAAATTTCCAATTGCTTGTTCCTGGTGTAGACTACGACTTGGCTAGAGCAGGAAAAGCAGCATCGCACGGTTGGGTATTTTTCAGTTGCTACAACAGTGAAAAAGCACACACGCTTTTAGAAGTAAATGCTTCGCAACGCGACAAAGACTTCATTATGGCAGTGAATTGGAAAAAAGCAGAAGAATATCTATCTCAAGGAAAAGGCATGAAATGGGCAGCTAACTATGCGCATAACGTAATGGATGAAAAAACACATACTGCTACTTCAACTATGGAAAAAGAAGTAACCGTTTTAGATGTGAAAGATTTACCGGGTGTTTGTTATTTTATTCCTTGTCCGAAATCTCCACATGGTTGCGATGTTGACCCAACAGGTGAATATATTTGTGCTTCAGGAAAATTAGCCGCTGTAATTCCTGTATACTCATTCAGCAAAATGATTAAGGCTATTGATGCGAAAACATTTGATGGCGATTATGATGGTATTCCGGTAATTAAGTATGAAGCCGCTTTAGATGGTGAAGTTGAAAAACCGGGCTTAGGTCCATTACACACTGAATTCGATAACGAAGGCAATGCATACACATCGTTCTTTGTTTCTTCAGAAATTGTAAAATGGAATGTAAAAAGCAAACAAGTCTTGGATAGAGTTCCAACATATTACTCTATTGGTCACTTGTGTGTGCCAATGGGTGATAACATCAAACCGTATGGCAAATATGTAATTGCATTAAACAAAATTACGAAAGATCGCTACTTACCTACAGGACCGGAGTTAACTCAATCGGCTCAACTCTATTCAATTGATGGTCCTAAAATGCAATTGTTACTTGACTTCCCTACCATTGGCGAACCGCACTATGCACAAGCTATTCCGGCCGAGTTGGTAACACGTCATGAGGTTAAGTTCTTTAAACTGGATAGTAACAACCACAAATACGCTGCTAAAAACGAGAAAGAAGCAAAAGTGGTTCGCAACGGAAACGATGTACACGTGTACATGACAGCCATTCGTTCACACTTTATGCCTGATAATATTGAAGGGGTAAAAGTTGGAGATGTGGTATACTTCCACGTTACCAACCTTGAACAAGATTGGGATGTACCGCACGGATTTGCCGTAAAAGGAGCGCTTAACTCCGAATTATTGGTACTTCCAGGTGAAACATCCACGATTAAATGGGTTCCCGATCATGCTGGGGTTTATCCAATGTATTGCACCGATTTCTGTTCAGCTCTACACCAAGAAATGCAGGGTTATGTGCGGGTTTCGCCTGCCGGCACAAATACTGCGATAAAATTCTCTACAGGCGACTAGGTTCATAATTGACAAGGAGGAAGTCTGTTTAGGTTTCCTCCTTTTTTTCTCCACTTATTGTATGCAAGTTCATGAAGCGTACAACGCTCAAACTCTTATATGTCGAAACTTAAAACATATACACGTATCATCCTTTTTGTTTGTGCATTAGCGATGATTCCTGCCAACTATCTTTCAGTATGGCAGATTCAACTCGAAGCACCACAATATCCGGAAGGATTAAAAATGGAAATCTGGAGTCATAAAATTGCAGGTGATTTCGATAAGATAAATGGCTTGAATCACTACATTGGTATGGCAGAAATAAAGCAAGAAAACTTTCCTGAGTTTAAAGTTATGCCCTGGTTGATATGGTTGTTTGTTGCATTTGGACTTCTGACTGCTTTAGTAGGCAAACGGTTTTTGCTCTGGATATACGTTATTATTCTTTCTGCTAGCGGAGCCTGGGGGATCTACGATTTTTGGAATTGGGAATACCAATACGGACATAATTTAAATCCACATGCAGCCATCAAAATTCCGGGCATGGCTTATCAACCTCCATTAATTGGTTGGAAACAATTATTGAACTTTTTAGCAGGTTCATTCCCTGATACCGGGGGATGGTTAGTCATTGGATCTGCCGTAATAATTGTGCTTGTGTTACTATTCGAACAATTCAGAAAAAAGTAAATTAAACGCAGTGTATAGATTTCTTAAAGCATTACTCTTTATTGTGTTTACCGCTGTAAGTATTGAATCGTGCAACAACGAAACGCCAAAAATTAATTTCGGCAAAGACATGTGTGCCTTTTGTAAAATGACAGTGATTGATGAAAAATTCGGTGCATTACTCATCAACAACAAAGGGAAAACGCTATACTTTGATTGCTGTGAATGCATGGTAAACTACATGAAAATGGACAAAGATTTTCATCCAGAAAAAATATTAACGATAGACTACTGCAACCCTAGAATACTCATCGATGCTGAAAAAGCACATTACCTTCATGGTGAAAATATTAAAAGCCCTATGGGAGGAAATATTGCATCGTTCAAAACAAGTGAAGATGCGGAACGCTTTCAAAAAAGTTTACAAGGCGATTTAATCCTTTGGAATAAAGTACTCGAAATAAAATTCTGATATTCATGAAACTCCGATGCTTGTTCTATGCTCTTTTTTTTTCATTGTTCTGTAAAGGAACAACAGTAACACTTTGCAAAGATTGTCCTGTTCAAAACTTCAAACAAGCATTACAAGTTATAAAACCCTACGACACCCTTGTTATCAAAAAAGGAACATATACTTGTATCAACGAAACGATATCCAAACCCATAACTATTATTGGAGAGAACCTTCCTGTTTTGGACGGAAAACAAATGGATGAAGTACTTGTAGTTATGAGTAACGATATTCATTTGTTTGGATTAGCTATTGCTAACAGCAAATGTGGCAGTATGAAAGATTACGCAGGTTTAAGAGTTTTCAAAGCGCGTAATGTGACTATAGAAAACTGTCAGCTTACCAATACATTTTTTGGTATTTATCTTAGCGATTCGAAATGCATAACCGTAAAAAATTGTTCGGGAAAAGGAGCGCATTATGGCAAAAGCGATACCGGTAACGGAATTCACCTTTGGAAGTGCGATAGCATAAGCATTACAGGTAATCATTTGGAAGGACATCGGGATGGGATTTACCTAGAATTTGCAAAACACTGTACCATTGAATCTAATCTATGTGAGCGTAATTTTCGTTATGGTTTGCATTTCATGTTTTCCGATAACGACACCTATTCGAATAACACTTTCACCGGAAATGGAACAGGTGTAGCGGTGATGTACAGTAAAGGAGTACACATGTTCAATAATCAATTTTTGAACAATTGGGGCGATGCCGCTTACGGCCTGTTGCTTAAAGATATGAGCAATGGTATTATCAAAAACAACATTTTCCATAACAATACTATAGGTGTAACTATGGAAGGTGGAACTAATATGCGTTTTGAAAAGAATGATTTTATTCAAAATGGCTATGGCTTGAAAGTTATGGCCAACTGCCGACTCGATACGTTTGTATTGAACAACTTCACCGGCAATACTTTTGATGCTTCTACTAACGGTGAGTTAAAAGAAAATTTATTTGAAAAAAATTATTGGGATAAATATGAAGGGTACGATTTGAACCGCGATGCCGTAGGGGATATCCCCTATCGCCCGGTGAGTTTGTATTCCGTATTAGTTGACCAAATGCCGTATGCAATAATGCTGATGAGAAGTTTTACCATTGATTTACTTAACAAAGCAGAGAAAAATATTCCGAGCATAGTACCGGAAACATTCATCGATAATAAGCCCATTATGAAAATGATTAAGAGAAGATGATCGAAATACAAAAAATAGAAAAGCAATTCGGTAATTTATCGGTACTCAAAGGGGTAGACGCCTCCTTTAATGCAGGTAATGTGGTGAGCATTATTGGCCCGAACGGTTCAGGGAAAACAACACTTATTAAATGTATTTTAGGAATGGTAGTTCCCGATAATGGTAGTATACAATTCGCAGGCAAAAACATTCTTAACGACTATTCCTATCGACAGCAGTTGGGCTATATGCCGCAAATTGGTCGGTATCCCGAAAACATGAAAATGGGGCAACTTTTTGCGATGATGAA